GATGTGTGCAAGCAGCATCACAAATAACATTGCAAGCTAGAAAATGTGAGGGTCTCTTTTCCACAGATCCAGCTTGTTTTGCAAAAATTATTATGATAATAATAATTATTATAAAATGGTATATTTTTAAGCAGCCTGGTTTAAGAAGACATACATTGGCAGGAGTCTCCCTGAACAAAACATTTAAAAACCAGAAAATCACTGAGGAGCCGCTGCAATTTGAACACATTATTTAACACATTATTTAAATGTTTGGATTCTCTAAATCCCAAAATATTTCAGACAAACAGAACACTCCACATTGTTTCCCTTTCTATCACCTCAAAAATGCAGTCACTGCAGGTGGAGGAAATTGTAGGTGGAGAGGTTTGGCCTCTCCTATTAACTCTTGCTAATCCCCATAAATGTCCATTAATCTTGTCTAGCTCTGGTTTAGACTCTTGGAGGGGCTAAAAATATCTTTGCTGCCTTTCCAGGTTGAGGTACTTGCAGCTTAACGTGCTGTGCTCTGCCAGGCTGAGCACGTGGCCCCAAGGGCTGCAAGTGCTGCTGTCACCCCAGCTGGGCAGGCATGACCCAGGTGATGTCCTTGCTTCAGCTCTGGCCACTCTTGCCCTTTTCTTGCTTCTGTCTTTCTCCTGTCTTGTGCTTCTGTAGAGAAATGCAGTTCTAGATGTCCTGCCAAAGCACAAACGTGTGTTCTGAGCTGCTGCCAGAGCCAACGCCCCGTGGGCTTCCCATTCCGTGCTTTGACAGCATCCCTGTTATTTTTCACTTCTGTGCTCCCTTTAGATGCTTGAGTGCCAAACCTCAGGTAACCAATATCCTACAGCCTTCACATCCTGCTGCACCCAGGGACATGACTTTTCCTCTGGCATTGCCTCCTATTCACATGCTTCCTTCATAATTTTGTGATGTGCCAAAGTGTCGCTATAGGACACGAAATAACGCAACACGGACACGCAGCTCTCTCAAGGTAAAAAAGCACTTTTAATTTCTCATTCTAACATTTATAGATTTCCAAAAGTGACTGTGGATTGGAGGGTGACAGTGCCACCTCTCCAATGACTCTGGACAAACCAACAATCCATCAAATTTTTCCTCCTCCTCCATAAAAGAATGCAAAACAGTAAGTTATTTATATAAAGTCCGTGAAAAAGTTCGTTACAAAAATGTAAACATCAGAAGGCTTAAAAAAACTTAAAAATCAAAACAACACCAAAGCACATGGATTTGAAATGCTTCCCAGTTCTGCCTCCTTTTTTTTAATGGAGCTTTAATTAAATACTTACAGGCTATTATGCAACTCTGCCATGTAGACCTACTAAACCTGCAAAACCCTACCCAAATAAAAAATAATAACACATAAATATAAAAAAAAATTAAAAAAACCAACCAAACAACAACCAAAAAAAACCTAAGTAGCTGACAAAGCATTTCATGTTCCAGCAAGTAGTAACAACTGCACCCAAATAAATATTAAAAGAAAACAAGGGAATGTCAAAACATAAGTCATGTTGCTGCAGGGTTCTGTCTTCCCAGGGTTACTAATTTGTCTTCTCTTCCATTGACTTCTGGAAATTTCCAGCTGGAGGGCATTCTACTTTCCCATCTCCTAGATGTAGTAATAAAACACATTGGTTTGTTGCATATATACATATCTATATATTTGTGCACACACACATATATATATATATATGTATCAATGTGTTCATGTCTATACTTGAACATGTATAAATGTGTATATATATATATAACCAGTAGAGTTCAGAAAATACTGCACACAAATCTCTTCACAGGGATGTCTGTCTGCTGGTACTTGAGTTGTACTCAAGCTGCTTCAGTTTATCTCCCAGATCAAAGGTGGACATGGCTCCTGTCACATAACCAGGATGCAGAGGTTTTTTTCATGTGCTTACACCAAGACAGAATGTTCAATAGCTAATAAATATCCTGATTGTTTTTTTATGTGCAGGTTACAGCTTGACTGAGTTTCCAAAGTGCCCACACCTATGTGGAGCTGTCACAAGGTCTTTCTGACATCACCTTTGGCTGCTCCCTGCTGGAGCTAACAAGTATCTGGTAACTTTTTGCCAGCTTTTAGGATCTCTCTTCTATTTGATATATTAAGATCGTTATGAAGTAATTGATTCTGGTTGAGATAAAGCTGATAAAAACAAATGTTGACAACACACCCTGTCCTTAACTGACTTGAGTCCTGCTGGACCGGTCACTGCATGAACTCGCAGGCAAGTCCATTCCCCTTCCAGAGCAAATGCCAAGCAGCTGCCTGTCCCTGAGAAGGGGCAGACATTTATGGTTTGTCCAGCTTAAATTTTCTGCACTGAAACAGATCTTCAGTGCAGATCAATTGGCACACAAATCCATCTGCAGTGGGTTTACTTCTCAGGATGCACCAGCAATATATTGTTTTTCAGAGGAACTCCTTCACATTTACATAGGTAGCCAGAGGCACCTTCCTTGGATACTTTGGGTAACTGTTAAAAATATTTTCTCCTTTTCATCCTTCATACAGGAAGCCAGGCTGCTGGTTTCTGGTACCATGCCAGGACAAAGCCCATAAACAAGTGTGGAAGAAAGAAAATTAAAATGTTTTTAAAGCAAACAGAGCAGGATGGAGTAAACGTCATTTTTGGTTTGCATTTTTGGTTTTTTACTAAAACACAAGTATTTTGGAAAAGAAAAAAAAAAGAAAATAAATTATTTTAATCCTACTATATATCATGAAGAGATAGCTGCCAGGATTTACTGCATAGCATTATGAGGGCAAGTGGTGCTGCAAAGGCCCATGTCTGGGTCAGGGTCTGCTAATCTTGGGAGAGACTCCACACATGAGACTTGGCAGGCTTGCTCCTGCTCATAGTATCAAAAGAGCGTGAAAGAGCTATGGGCCAAGAGGGAGGGATATTTCCGTAATTGTTAAGACCTTTCCATGTCTTGAAAGGAACAGAGAAACAATCTCCCCTTTCTACTTCATCTGCCACTTTAGGCTTTCCTGGTGAGGTTTGCTGTTTCTTCAAGCTGTTACTAAGCTAGCAGTGAGCAAACTTGCTTTTGCTCAACCTGAAACAAAAGCCCTGATACAAGGCTGTCAGTGCCTGCTTCTAAAGAAGTAGCAGCACAATATTTTGCATATATCTTAAATCTGTTTGTGGCCCAGGGTTTCCACACAAGCAGGATGAGGCACATCAGCATAAACAGCTGAGATTTTCTAGTGTTGGCATCGGCAGCAGCCCTGGAGGAAGGGACAAGGCTGTGCTCGGCACCGACAGAGGGCAGGCACCAGCCCGGTGTGGGAAGGTGGGAAAACCATCTCTCCTGAGATGCCTTGGGACTCACAGGCTTGGATGCTGCCTGGCCCCAGCCCTCTGTACATTGCAGGCACACAGGGATTGCTGCTAAGTCAGGATGTAAGGTGTAGTACAGCTTGAACTGCATGTGCCCTATGCTAAATATCATTGCCCAGTTTTCAGAGATGCAGGCAAAAAGGAAAAGCAGAGAGCATTCCTGATGGACTCCAGCCTTGGCTCTGTTTGGATGTTAGCAGATCTAAATGCCTGTTTTCTTCTTGAGAACTCATCAATTAATTTCATCATTGCCTGTTCAATACTGCCCTAGCTGACAGTTTTGGCAATTCCTTCGTGTCTTTTAAAGTCTTTCTGCCTGGACAAGGCACTGGAGACAGGCAGCAGCTGTTTCCGCTGGGATATAGAGGTGGAGCTGCTGTGACTTCTGCTACTGTTGGCTGGTGAGGCAAGGTTTCCAATGGAGCAGGAGTATAGAATGTCAAAGCTTCAAATTTAACACTGAGGAAGCTCAAGTAAATGACTGGATGGAAACAAGTGCTGTCTAGAGAAGCAGAAAGGTGGCTTGCTGGCAGAGATACTTAAAAAAAAAAAAAAGTAAAAGTCAGGAAGTGTGTTTCTTCAATATGCAGAATTTAGGATGACTTGCTGGATACTGCTCAAGAAAAAGAAAGTATCATCAGCACAGGAAATTGTGTGGCTTCACATATGCTCTCTGAAAACTCTTCCAAACCTAGTGCTGCAGGTGGCACAGACGAGCTGCAGATGGGGTAGCAGGGCCGTGGGCGAGTGTTCGTGCTGTCTGCTCACGCAGCCTCCAGAGGAGACGGTGCGTGCTTGGCAGGGAGAAGGTAAATCCGAGGTGCTCCACCAGCAGCTTCGCTCATTCTGTCCTTCTTCCCCTGTCTTATTCTCCCTTCTTTTTCTTGTGGCCTTTGATGTCCAGCGAGATGGTTATCAAGTGTAACCATGAAACAATGCCTCATTCGAGCAAGTCACTTCTTTTTTGCTTCTGTGGTTACAAAGTGATCAAGGACCGGGTATATTTAGGTATTGCCTGGACCTAAGAGTGAACCAATGTATTTGAGCACCACGGCTCTTTAGGTACACGTGCAAAACTTGGCAAGCTGTAGATCTTACTAATTTGCCTTACTTTCTAAGAAATGCAAAAAAAAAATTATACTGGCTTTGATGGACGTGTACAGGTAATATCTCAGCCTACTCTTACAAGCAGATTTTGGGACATAAGAGGCAGAGAGGGACATTGAATAATGACCCTGATTTTGATTAAATAATCCGCTTTGTGTTCCTCACCCCCGCTCCCGAATGTTTGTGGCAGTGGCGCTGTGGCCACCAGGATGACCGACGACTGGCAGGAATGGCAGGATCGCGCGTGGGAGCTGAGATGTGCCCCACGCAGCGAGCCGGCTGTGTCGCGAGTTTCTGCTGGTCTGCACCCCTAGGAAAAAACAAGAACAAAAACAAAACCACCACAGCTCCAAGGCACAGGACTCACCCGCGGCTGGCCCGCCTCAGCCCAGCAGGAAACACGATTCCCCCCGAAAGGAAAGCCCAGGGGGATGGGGGAGCGCCGGGACGGGACGTCCCGTCCTGTCCCGTCCCGCCGGGGAAGGCGGGAGGGAGGGAGGGAGGCGGGAGGAGGGGTTTGGCCGGGGCCGGCGCCGGGATAAGAGGCGGGGAACCCTTCGGCGGCTCGGACGGACGGTGTTCCCCGGTGCCGTGCCGTGCCGTGCCGTGCCGTGCCCGTCTCCCGGCGGGATGGAGGAGCTCTACAGTAAGGCGGAGACCCTCGCCCTGCGGAGGAAGCACATCGGGTAGGGGCGGCGGCGGGGCCGGGAGCGGGGCAGAGGGGAGGAAGAGGAGGAGGAGGAGGAAGGTCTGTCTCTGGTGACAGCGCCCGTCCGGACCCGCTCGGCGCTGCCCGGGCGATGCCAGCGCTGGGCAGCCCCTCCGGGCCCGCGGCGAGAGCCAGCCGGGAGGGGGACAGGGACACACACAGGAGCTGTCATCCCTCTGGATCCCAGGTCTCGGGGCCGCCCGGAATTCCCTAGGCGGGCGGGGGGATGCGTCATTAGAGCACTGCCCATCACTCGCATCATTCACTTTCCAGGAGATCAAAGCGAGCGGCCAGAATGTGGTACCCAGGTGTGAGTCTAAAGCGAGGAGCGCAGGGCTGGGGTTTGTGCGCGCACCTGCAGAACAGCCGCGTCCCCTGAATGAACCTGCTGCTGCTCCTTGAGCTCACTTTAACCGGGGGACGTGCAGGAGGGCTGCCAGAGGTTGTGACCGATACTGATCAAGTTTAAAAAGAGAGGATCATCAGCACAGGAAATTGTATGGCTTTGCAACACGGCTAGAAGCTGTGGGAAAGAAAGCAAACCACTATCCAGGAGTCAGTCACATTTACAAGTTCATAGCCTCAGTATACCCCACAATAACTCTCAGACTTACCTGGAAACAACTGTGTTTATCCAAGTTCATATAAACAATGCTGAATGTTCAGAAGACTTTCCTTCTGCTCAGTAATAGCATTCAACATAATTACATAGCTGGCACATTCTCCAAGAAGGGGGGCGGGGGGAAGAAATAGGGTGTTTAAAGAGTACTTTGGTTAATTTTATAAAGAGCTTGAGTTTTTCTGGAAGTCAGTGTGATTGAGATGCTTATAAAATGCTGCTTTTAAAGATTTTTACCCAAAGCAGCGAGAGTGAGAGTGTGAGGGGTTTAGGACCTGCTCAGCACCTCTGAAAATAAAGCCTGCAAGGCATTAGTGTTTTGTTCCTGACTGTGACCTCTATATGCTACAGCCATCCATTGCGTAATGATTTTTTGGCTATAGTATAAAACAGTGCTTAACAGCTTACTTTAGTCCCAGAGAGTTATTTGGCCATAGATGTCTGGAAGGCATGTAAACAAGCAGAGCTACAGCCTCGGAACATGGCAGGACCTGGAAGGACGTGCAGACACTGTTCTCCTGTGAAATCAATGGCAGGCAGAGTCAAGCTTTGAAAACACCCTTATTAAACACCAGCTTCTGTCCCCACTGTGCCTGGGCAAGTGCATGGATTTTCCCTGTGAGCAAGAGCCCCTGCTTGAACACCACCTGAATGGCTCACAACCCTTTTTTGTAGAAGGAGGCAATTGTCTCCAGAGCTGCAAAAAAATCAACCTCCTCAACACTCAAAGGAGGGAGAAAAAATGAGAAAATTAAAGTAGTGTTATGTTTATTATGTTTTAGGCCTTCCTGCAAAGTTTTCTATGCCAAGGACCCTCTGAAGATAGTCCGTGCTCAGGGCCAATATATGTTTGATGAGAAAGGAGAGAAATACTTAGACTGCATCAACAACGTTGCACATGGTAAGCAGTTTGACTTGAGACTGCTTCTATTCCTTAATTTCCACTAGGGATCAGGACACATTTCTGCCAAGTGGTGATGTTCACAGTGCTTCTCTGAACATCCTTGTGTGGTTCAGTAATTGACTGCTTGCTAGTAATAACTAATAATTTTCTTCTTTAGTGGGGCACAGCCATCCATATGTGATAAAGGCTGCAACGAAACAGATGGAACTGCTCAATACAAACTCCCGCTTCCTGCACGACAACCTTGTTCAGTATGCACAGCGACTCACAGCCACCCTGCCTGAGAAACTCTCTGTGTGCTATTTTGTTAACTCTGGGTAGGTCTGAGTTGGGTTTGTTTTGTTTGGTTGGTTTTTTCTATGACTATTCTTAATGACTGTTAGAGACAGACACTCAGGACAGCTTGGTCTAAATCTTACTAATTAGGACTTAGTAACATACAACAAAAATATATCCAGCACTGATCAAAACTTACTTCCTATTTGCAGCCATCCTATTTAGAATGATGGCTCAAAGCAAGAGAGGGAAAATGTGAAACTGGCCTGCTGAATGCTATGCAAAAAAATAGTGGGGAGGGGAAAGCAAGAAGAGGAAATTAATTCTGAAAATTGGTGAATGTTGTGTACAGACTGATGAATGCCGTCTGTAAATTGACATACAACCTTGGAAATAAGACAGTCTTCTTTAGGCAGATTGGTAGTCTGTGATCACTTACATGTCCAAAACAGACAAGCTGTAAGCAGAGGGGCTGTGACAGATCAGGCTGGAAGCTTGAGTCTTGTTCCAGGGTGCAGATTTGTGATGGTGCAAGCACTGGGGAGAAAGGAGTTGTGGACTGTGGGAGATGGGACATTGCTTTTTGAGGGTTAGTGACTGCACTGTGTTCTGAGCTGCAAATTGGCCTCCTTTGTACCAAGGGGAGGTAAATATCTACAGGCAAACTGGGGGAGGGAAAGAAAGCATCTCTTTGTTTGCTGTTTCTACAAAGGGTTGTTTTGTCTTTGTCCTCTTACATGGCACTTATAGTCTCAACCTTAGCATTGTAATCTGTACAGTAACAGAGTCTGCTGTGTTGATTTCTTATATCCATGAGTCCCATGCCTTGTCTTCTGTGGGAATACCCTTTTAATTGGAAGCACTCCTTCACTGGTTTGTTGCTGTGTCTGTTATCGTGCAGGTCTGAAGCAAACGATCTTGCTTTACGACTGGCTCGGCAGTACCGTGGGCACCAAGATGTGATCACCCTGGAAAAGTAAGTACACAGAGTAGCTTATGTGAACACAGCCAGCAGCTCCTGCCATTACTTCAGAAGCAGCTTTGCAGCAACCCCCTGCTGTTTGTACTCCACTGCCTGCTGAAAGAAAAGCTTTGTTGCTTTGCATTAGAGCAGATCAGGAAATCCCTTTTTCACATTTGGATAAACACAAGTTTTGAAGATCTCTGAAAATAAGCTTGTCGGTCACCCTAGAAGGTCAGGCACCTGTTAGAGGGCATTTCCCACAGACTCCCAAAGCAACTCATGCCAGAGACTTAAATGTTGGTTTCAAAAGCAGTGAGTGGTCTGGCTACTGGGCTGCTCTGGTAAAGGGCTTTCTCTTCATCACGCATTGCTGGACACGTTTCATTTTGCACAAATAAATATTCAGTGGTCAAGAAGAAAGATCCTGTAGTTCTGCAGCAGTGCTGCAATGATGCTCAGCTCTCCTTCAGTGAACACAAGTATGCACACAAGGTTTTGTGTGGGGACTGCAAAATCAGGAGGTGTTGGGAGGGCTGGCAGCCACAGGGTAGGTGGCTGAGCACATTTCAGGGTTTTCTATCCTAGATGAAGCTGTAGGTTTAGTGATGTTGCTGTAGTGCTGGATTTTCTTCTCAGGCTGTGATTAGAAAGTCCAGCTAGAACAAATGCAAGGGTACATGTCTCTATCTGAGCAGCACAAACCTTGTTTGACTCAGCTATATTCAGATCCCAGTTAGCAACACACTAACCTATGTGTGTTCTACTAAGAAATTGTGACACATCTTTGGTTTGGTTTGAGGTTTGCTTCGCTTCAAGTTTATGGCTGAACAAAAGTGTTTATTATTCCCTGAATAAAGATGCTACATGCTTTAGGCTCAAAAGGCTCTGGTTCCTCATTTCTAAATCAGTTGTATTGTGTTGTCTTCAACAGTAACCAGCTTTAGCATACTCTTCAGTATAAAACACTTATATTCCAACAAAATCCTTTTCCTGACAGTGGCTTCTGCCAAACCCTCTTGGCTGCAATGCCTGCAGGGCAGATAGTCATGGGCTGCTGCTGCATAAGATTCCCACTTCTCCATGCAATGCACACTCCTGAGAGTTTTCACAGTGGTGTTGGGGTCTAGCTTGCCAGGCTTGGGCTGGCCAGAGTGGGGCTGATGGGTTGGAAGTGGAGGAGCTGGACCCACCTTTCAGCTCTAGGTAAGGCTGCTAGGGCAGCCACCTTGAAGCCATGGCTTAAAGCCATGGCTGCTAGGGCAGCCATCATCTTGGTCTGTCCCCATTTTTCCTGTTTCCAGTCTTTCTAGTGAATTAAAGTCAACAGCAATTTCATATTGTCTTTGAGAGTAAGACTGAGACAATTAAATCAAGATCCCTTCACAAGCAATGCTGCTGTGATGCAGATATGGTTGCTGTTCTGGATTATGTACAGGCACAGTTGTAAATCTGGCACTTCTATATATTTGCTGAAAAGTGACTTGGATATTTAACACTCACACAGTGCTTACCATGGCCATGTTACATCTCTGATTGACATCAGCCCCTATAAATTTAATCAGCTGGGAAAGGACAGCAAGAAGGAGTATGTGCATGTGGTAAGTATGGTTTTTTATTCATTTGGGGAGTTTTTGTGGTTTTGTTTTGGTTTGTTTTTTTGGGGGTTTTTTGGTCATTTTTATGCCTGTTATGCAGCATATTGTATTACCCACTTCTGGTGTAAATATACTTTCATTCTGTTTTGTTGATGCTAGTGTACATATGCTCGGCTGATTTCAGTGGAATAAATACAGCAAAATTGTTTGCTTATGGATTTCTAAGAAGGTGTTCAGCTGTGGGGCTGATTTCCTTCCTTGTGACACAGGTTTTCTCAGTCACTGCATTGTATAGTTACACAGTTTGATGAAATTAGCCAATATCCAATATTGCATTGGTTTGGTTAAAGATATGCAGGACTTTGAGACTAGTTCCAAAATTGAAAAGGCAGATTGCAGAAGTTTGCACAGCTTGGGGTATAGGACTCCTGAGTGTCTAAGGTATTGTGATTTTTCACATAAACTTGTGTATCTTAAAAAGACACAAGTTTTTCTCAGTCTAGAAATGTAGACCAAGCAAGCCTTTCCTGTCTAGACCTCCTTGCATCAACCACACTGCCAAAGTAATGTCACCTTTATGTACCACATCCTTAGTTATTGAACCTCTCCTAACACCATTTGTAGAAGGTTGAATACCACACAGATTTGTACCATGGCTAAAATGCCAGAAGGGAGGTGGCAGACTGGAAAACCCAACTCTCCAGTTGCAGAAATGGATCTTCTGCGAGCATCTGAAATAAGGTGGTGGATGGGGACTCATTTTTGTGTCTTGAGGGAGAGGAGGGACAGCCTTGGAGGGTGGATGAGGTAGATGATGGTTCTTGCAACAGCTGTGTTCAGTAATATTGAAGTAGGCATGACAGGCCCAGATTGAGTTTAAGCTCCAGTAGGCATTTTTGCAATTCAAAGCAAACATTCAGGCTGTACTAACTCTTATTATCTATTTGTGTTGAAAAGCCAATAAAGTGGAACAATAGAAAAGAAAGTAAAAGTTTCACAGAAGTATTGCCTTCATAAAAACAAATAAATGAATTGGTCTTTTCAGGCTCCTTCTCCAGATATCTACAGAGGGAAATACAGGGAAGACCACCCAGATCCAGCAACTGCTTATGCTGAAGAGGTGAAAAAGATTATTGAAGAAGCACAGAAGAATGGACGCAAGGTGTGTGTTTTGTGCTCTAGAAATGCTGAGGCTTCACCTATTTATTTTGGCATGGGGGTGTGTAACAGGCAACTAAGGACTTGTTTCTTTCCCAATTTCACATGCTTCCCTCTCCCTTCTTTTTTCTGTGATGGGTTTTGTTCAAAATGGGCCATTTTTCTATCTGATGCTCTTATAATAATTTTTCTAGCCATCAATGAAAGGATCAATAATACAGTTGTATGTAAGCAGATACAATCAAAGCTGTTAAATTTCCTATATTATGCATTGAATTGGTAGATTGTTAATATCATAGGGAAAGGTTTGACGTCAGCTGAGATGAGAAACTTCATCAAAAATTTTAGCAAAGATATATAAAAAAATCCAGGACATGGAGAAAATCAATTGGAAAAAAATCTCAATACTACATTTCTGAGCCTGTTTGTTTAAGATAACTTTGAGGTCATATAAAAAGGTGAAACTTTCACTCATACACACCATGACCTTGATAAAAACAGACAGTTTCTGAACAGGTGTACCTAAAATGTGTGTTAGTCTTTTATATGAAGGCGTTGGTTTGTTGAGACTTGTAGGGCTTGATCCAAAACCCACTGAAGTCCCAGAAGACTTCAGCAGAGCCTGGAACATGTTCCCTTCTAGTCCAACGGACTTACATCACCCCGCCTTTAGGTTCTTCATCAACTTTTTTTTATTCTCTACTAATGGATAGTTTTGTTTTTTCTTCCCTTTTTTTCCCTTTCTTTTGCACGTTTCTTAGGTTTTGGTGACAGACGTGTGGCAGGACAAGTTGTGCTAAAGGCTAAGCCTCACATGCTGTGGGACGCTTCGTCCTCTTTGGCCGTGTGCTCACATGTAGCGTACGGTTCTTTACGCGTTTCTGCTCGGCCTTGTTTCCAGGAAGACTGCACCAGCACAGAGACCTCTTGATGCTCAGGGAGGGGTTCACAAGTGGTGTGGGGATGCAATCCCTTAAATAGCAGACTTATGCTGAGACCTTGGGGTAATATTGTATCTCTGCTGCGTAGACCTCTGTTGTTGACAAGAAACGAATTTTGATGTTCCAGTGTGTCTGATCTGCTGTTCTTACCCTTCCTGACTTGAAATAACTTTCTTTTTCATTCCTAGCAACTGGAATTATTTCATCTGTAGAATTTTTCTCTTCTTTTGTCAAGTGCCTCGTGCTGACATGTTATTTGTGTAGTTATTTGCATTAGGCAGGGGTGCCCAAAGGCTAGCCACAGGTCATCTTACAGGTCAGCTTCCACCCACCTCTCCCTGGTGTTCAGGATTAAACAAAAACCTACATATACCTGCAAGCTTTATTAACCTCTTAGGGAAGATGGTACACACTGTTGTGTGTGTCCTGTAAACTGGCATTTTAAAATAAATTCATGTAGCTCCCAGGAGCTAATCCAGCATTCGCTGATACCGGGAAGAGTTATCCAGTTCAACACAAGGGCTTAATGGAGATCCTTGCATTCCCATCAGACTGCAAAGGTGGCCCTGGCTACTGCAAATTTGGGCACTCTGATTACAAAATTAATAAATCCTTTAGCCATAGCTGTTTTCAAGAGCTCTCAGTTGTCCAGCCCATTGTGTGATTAAATTAAGGCCCACATTTAAACGTTTATTTCTAGACTGTTAGATGTCTCTGCCAAGGCCAAGTAGATGAACACAGCTCTCACACGAGTTTGTCTCTTGTAGATTGCTGCCTTCATAGCTGAATCCATGCAGAGCTGTGGAGGCCAAGTAATTCCACCTGTGGGCTATTTCCAGAAAGTGGCAGAGTACGTACAGCACTTCACAGGGGCGTAACGGGGAAATTAAACAAAGAAATTGCTTTTTTCACTATAAACTTACCTAATCAATTCAGCTATTAACCTCTCCTGTTCTTGGCTATCTGTGGTTCGTTTCTGCTTATTGAAGAGTATAATTTCAGTTCAAATTTTTTAATGGAATTTCGGCTAATTTTTAGCTAGATAATTCCCATTCTTTTCCTATCTTTAATCCTCAGCCATAAGTTTGATGGAAGATGAAGTTAAACCAGTTATAATCCTACAGTACCATTACAGTACTCCTATTTGACATTAAAATGTCAATTTTTTTTCTTAACATGTAGCATACAAATTTCATAGCAATAAAATAGCTATAACTGTATTCTTTCTTTTTTTCCTGACTTGGTCTCACACTGCTGAATTTCTGTGATGCAGACTGCCTTGTCTTGATTGCCTACCCGTGTTCTGCAGCACTAGACTTTCAAGGTATTGTGATTCTTTTCAGGTATGTGCGTGCAGCAGGTGGAGTGTTCATAGCTGATGAGGTCCAGGTTGGCTTTGGCAGAGTTGGGAAGCATTTTTGGGCATTCCAGCTGCAAGGTGAAGACTTTGTGCCCGATATTGTCACCATGGGAAAGCCCATTGGCAATGGACACCCTATGTCTTGTGTGGTCACAACAAGGGAAATTGCTGAAGGCTTTGGTGCTACTGGACTGGAGTATTTCAACACAGTAAGTTCATAGGTGAAGCTTTGCCTTTTTTATTTTTCTTTTGGTGTGCAAAATGCCAGTTAGAAGTTCTCCAGGTGATCCAGATAACATCTGCAGCAATCGCTGCATCACATTACTAAGAGCTTGAACCAACCACAGTCTAGTATCTAAAAGCAAGTGGAGAGGCTTTGAAATATGCTCTGTATCAAGTGTTGCATCACCATATGGACGAGCACAAGCTCTCTGGCAGGTTATGCACCTCAGCTCATATCCATACAGATAAATTCTTCCTTATGTCTCTTTCCCTCTTCCCACTCTGAAATGCTGATTATGGAAAATTCCATTTTCTAGGATAGGCTCTGGGCTGGTGGAGCTCATGACCTGGCAGACCTTGCTCTGCAACTGACACCTAACAAAATAGTGACCCTTTACCAGAAAATATTTCATCTGCATGCATGCCACAAAGGTTCAGCCTTCTCATTTACTGAGCCTGCTTTCTGCTCCTGTGACTCAGCCTTCTTCCCAGCTACCATGAATTCCCCTGTTTTAAATTGAATTTATACTCTCTGGATCAAAATATATCAAATCTATCACCCACTGCTCTTCCCAGGAGCATTTTGCCTGCACATGCAATCAGCTGAATGCTTCAGTCCTGAGATCTTCAAATTATTGTAACCTGGAGCAGAGGAAGAGGGAGCCCTTCCCTTGCCCAGATGTAGGAGATGGTGTTCCACAGCCTAAATGATACAAAATCCCCACCTTTCTGAGCTTTCTTCCTGACATTCCAAGCAGGAGAGGGCAAGTGAAAACAATGTGGATAGACACAGATGAATATTTTGTCTTGATAGGTTTTGATTTTGATGCCATGTTTTGTTTTGTCTTTTCTTTCAGTTTGGAGGCAATCCAGTGTCTTGTGCCATTGGCTTGGCTGTGCTGGATGTAATAGAGAAAGAAGATCTCCAAGGGAATGCCACACGTGTAGGAAATTATCTCCTGGAGTTGCTGGCTGAGCAAAAGGAGAAACACCCCTTAGTAGGAGATATCAGGTGGGTTCATTGCAGCAATGTCAGGGAAGAAAGTAACTGTGCTAGAAAAAGTGGCAAACTTGGTGTGAGTGGAATACAGAAACATGCCATGATTTTGCTGCAGCTCTCTTTTAAAAAGGACTGCCCAAAACTGGTGTCATGGTTTGACCTTAGCACAGTGCCAGGGCCTCCATGAAGGGTATATTCCAAAAGGGTTGCTGTGAGATGTGACCTGGGAACAGAACAAAGCAGGCTCCCATTCGGGGATGAAGGGAAATAAAACAACACTTTATTTATTACAAGTCTAAAAAGGAACACATACTAAGCTAAAAATAAAAACCTTCCAGATACTTTCCTCCTCCCCCTCCTTTTTCTCCACACACTCACCACCCCTCAAATTATTAACCCTCAAATCCATCCGGGAGAGAGGAGTCCCCCCTTTGCCTCATGGGCCTCCCCCGGAAGCACAATTAAAACCCTCCTGTGCTTCCGTGTCACCCATGGCCCTGCACAGAGAACATCGGCCCTCATGACTTCTCCCCCCCATGTCCAGTGCTCTCACCACTGGACCTGGGCCAGGACTGCTTTTAGGGCTCCCCGTTAAAGATGCTCCACCCACTTCCAGAAACAGCAGTCTCTCAACTTTGGGACACCAGTCCCCCCCACATTTCACCCCCTGGGGCCGAGGGGTCTCATGAGCAGAGATCTTCCTGTCCATCTGTCTGCTTAATTACTTACAAGCAAAGCCATTAAAAAGGTTCTGGGAGAGTAGGAGAATGAGCCATCCACATGCAATAACCAAAATGTCAGCACACCATTGTAATCATGCAGAGCTTGTTAAATCTCTGGGGTTTCCCTGGGAGATGTTACTATGGATTTTCCTCATCTCATGTTACTACCATTGATAATTGCCTTCAGGTTTTTTTGGGGGAAGAGGTTGGGTTGCAGGGTTTTTGTACTTCTTTTTTCGTCTCCCTGGCTTGTGATTTTCAGGATAAGCATGAAAGAAAGTTATTCTGTCATTCTTATCTGGCCACATAGCATTAATGAGCCAGGTAAATTTATTTATCCAGAAATACCTGTTATCCCATTTGATTGTGGGAAGTTGCCAAAAGGCAACCAAAGATAAAGTCTCCTCTCTCATTCTCCTTCCCCCATTTGCGCTTGAGGGAAGGGAATTACAGTTGTTAGAAACAGGTATTGCATTTGCAGCAGAAGTTTTGGGTTACTGACACTGGATTTCACTTGTCTGCACTTTTCTTTTCTACTCCAGGGGTGTTGGATTGTTTGTTGGGGTGGATCTGGTGAAAGATAAGCAGAAGCGAACGCCAGCCACGGCTGAAGCCCTTCATCTTATTTACAAGTAAGCAGTTCTTAAAGACTGTGTGCAGTGATCAAACCCTCCTAATATTTTCCAGCAGTAAGTCATTAATTTTGTTTTCAGTTTGTGTAGTTTTTGGTGACATAGTACTAAAAAAAGAAGACTTTCAAAATCTGTATCAGCTTGGTAGAAGTGACAAGACACAAGATAGTTTTATACCTGTATCTAACACAAGTGTTTCCTCTTTCCAGACTCAAAGAGCATCAAATCCTTCTTAGTGCAGATGGACCCTACAGGAATATTTTAAAATTTAAACCACCAATGTGTTTCACAATGGAAGATGCAAAGCACGCAGTGGAGACACTTGATGCACTTCTTACAGGTATGTGCGCTCTAGGGCTCAAAGGAAGGCTCTTCTTTGTTCATTTCCCAATGAAACACCATCACAGCCTAGGCCATTTCATGCAAGGGAAATTAATTAACTGCATTTCTTACCATTCATCAAACTGCTGTTCTTAATGCCAATTATTACAAATAAATACAAAACTCCATATGTACTTCATCCAAACTTTTAGGCAAAATCCTGCTCTTGAGCCTTTCTCTTACAGACTCAGCTATTACTCATTTCTGGTGACATGTGCTGTTTGCTAAGGAGTGAATATATTAATTCAGCACAGGCCTGAAAGACGCTGCAGATACACTGGTGTAACTTTCCATAATGTGCTCTACCTTTCCTTTTTTTTTCTTTTTGTTTATTTTTTAACTAGAGTACTGGAACATGATTGTCTCACTCAAATTTAGCCTGAAGGTTTTCAGGCTTTATTTTTTTTTTTTTACCTGAGGACCAACCCAGGGGAAAATAACATCAGTTATACTGTTAGCATGAGGGTTCTTGGAGCCTGTTATACATTAAAGGCTCCCGTCTTCTGAGAATGTAAGAACTAAAGTTAGACTTCCATTAACCTGATGGAAAAAGGCAGAATTCCACTCTGAAAGGTCTTTCTGATACCCCCGTGCTAATTTTATTCTTTTCTCTAAATACCCCCAAGCTAGACAGTCCTGACAGATTAATCGCTTTGCCTCAAAAAATGTTTTAGGAAGTATTCATCATTCTTCATTTATTCTTCTGTGTGATAAATGCCCAGAGGAAAAGCTGATTTTTTTAACTTCAGCTACTACATTGATTGTATGCTTACTTCCTCCCACTTCTTTTTAATTTAATTATTTTATTACTTTTTTCAGAACTGGAAGAGGCCACTGGAATGAAGACAGAAAATAATACATCTACAAATGTGCAGTGTAAAAGAAAAGTATGTTTTAATTTTTTAACTCTTTCAGATAGGTGTTTAGAAAAGCAAGTATAAATTACCTTGGTAGAACATGCCTTCAGTTTTGGTAGCGTGAGTGGCTCTGTGCCTTGAAACTGAGCTCAGAGGGTAATTTGCTACTAGAAACTCAAGAGGATTTACCCTGTCTCACTGGGGTAAATCTAAAAAGAGCTGAGTAATCCAGACCAACAACATGTTATAGACCAGCCACCTGCCTTATCTGCTTGTGTGCAAACAAGAGCAACCAGGCTACACAAAGTCATGAGCACCACAGTCAGCAACTATTGGTTCTTGGTATTACAGGCTACTGAAAGATATTTGGCTTTCTAAGCAAGCCTGCAGCCTGGAAGGTGTCCAGGTTTTCAGAGAGTTCCAAGGATTTTGTTTCCACTGTAGATCTTTGAGTATGAATGGCTGACACACATCCAAATTAGGACTTCTTAGGTTGCAGCCCCAGCTCTGGATAAATCACATCTGATTTGTCACACCCTTACAAACATGTCACCCTCTCTACAGAGACGTTTGCTGAACTGTCCCTTGGTGGGTTTTCCAGTGGTGCTGTGGGGATGGGAATTCAATAGCTCAGCTGCCATGGGGTGTAAAAGTTAAGCAGAGACCTGATGAGTTATTTGCCATATATCTAGATTTTAGTAGGTTTGGAGTGCAAGCCTACTCTCACAGATATTTTCACACAGTCAGTTCCATTTCTTTCAGAACTAAGAAGTTGTGGCAATAATAGAGCATCAGGCAGAGCTACCTAATGGGAACCAGTGGGTGCCTGGTGGAAGACACACACGTGCCTCCACTGACATCTCCTTTCTGTTTCAGACCACTGAAGAGAGCTCTCAACCAGAAGGTGCAAGTGAAAGCATCAGCCACATGAATGGAGCTGCCTGCCGACAAGAAAATGGGATTTATTCTAAAAAACGCTCGGTGCCAAGTAAAAGAATAAGAACATGAAGAGGGACAGTTTCTTCATTCAGTCTGAATTTGTGTCCGTCTTGCTTTTGAGATGAAGAGTGCAATAGTCTGAGTCCTAGGATCTGTTTGAAGCCTAGCCATGCCTTTCATAAACTGGCTGAATTCCTATTAGCTTCACTAGGTTTAAAATACCTTTTCAGATACATGAGAACTGTGCCATGTGGCTTGAAATCTAGATGAGACAGAATGGACAAGTGATACAAAAATACCTTGGTGCTGATGGCAGGTGTGACATAGGTACACAAACTTGGTAAAAACTGCAGATTTATCCATATTATGCAGAATCTGATTTGCTTAACTGCCATAAAGCAAATGCCAATCCTATTAAGTTTAAAAATATATGCTTAACATGCTATTTTTACAATATTTTAAATTTCAATATGTAATATTGAGATGTTAATTACTTCCCATGTTTTAATGGCTGAATTCACTAAACAATGCTTGAGAAAGAAATCATTATTATCTTCTAGTGTAACTTAGGTCCTATGGACCATATTCCCAGCTGATGTAAATTGGAGTAGCTTTGCTAATGTCAGAAATGCTCTACTAAGAGTCTACAACTCTGTGTGTAGAGACACAATGTCTATGCAGGGCACTCTCACTATAAATTCAAGGAAAATAAAGAATCTAATTTTCTATGAATAAAGCAACTTTTATAAATATTTATATAGAGTAAGATTTTAAATTTTTTTCCCTAGAGTTTATAGATTGGATCCTATCAGTCTATGAAATATGCAAGTGGAGTGTATATAATTTCAGACATACTCATTGATTGAATTCAACTAGAGGTGTCTAAAAATGAGGTTCCCAGGGACAGGCCAGCTTGCATTCCCATGGATTTGAGTTGTTTTGAGAGTCATGGGAATTACTGCCTGATCCTGTCAAAGTAGTGCTGGTACTTTTTGTCAGTGGTGATGAAGAGCTGCACACCAGTTCCATGGGTTCCTACACATAAATGGGAACACTGGATAGGTTACTGAAAGGAGAGAATCAGTGCATAAACCGTGCATGCAACCAGTGCCTATCTGTGCTGCAGACACTTCAGGCTGACTTTTCTCAGTCAGTGTTAAATTTCAATGACAGCCCACAAGCTCTGCTTCTCTTAATACATGCACAGCTCCATGCTGTGGAGGACAAGGAGGGCTTTCCAAATAGTTTGTACTTCAGAAAAAAATATAAAATGTATTTCTTTTCTCGTCAATCTTAATACCCTAAATTCTGCTGTTTCCTATTTGCTGCTAATTATCCTACTGATATGACTGAAAATTGAGCACTTTATCTAACTTCATGTTTTCCACAATTTGCTACATTTATGTCTATGTTTCTGGTGTAACTCTTTCCAACATCTTCAAGCTGGCTTATTTTCTGTTTCATGATCCTTGAATAATTCTTCCATCAAAATAAATTTCATTTGTAATTATGATGTCCTACACAAAGAGGGGTTTTTGTTTGTTTGTTTTAACTTTATTCTGCAGTAACACCTATTTGCTGAGGGAAATAACAGTTCTAGCTGGAGGTTGTCCCCATGCCAAGGCAGAGCTGACTAGGCTGTGTTTCCCCGAGGCACTCAGCTGTTGGCAGCTATTACCCTTCAAGCCAAATGTTGCCTCAGCTGCCACAGTTCATTCCCTGCTAACTCTGCACCAGGAAGGACAGGTCTTTTCCAAAATGAAGCTACACAAAGAACTAAGTGAACTTAGTTTGGTATGTCTAAAGGCACAGTTTAAGTCACTCCCTGTATGGAGTGCCACTACTTATATTTCACCTCAGCCACTGTGTGCAGCAACAAGCAAGCAAATATTTGTCTGATTTATTAGAAAGCTTAAGCCCAAAGGCACAGAGCTCAGTACCAGTCTGTACTGTGACACCAGCTGTTGTGGTAGGTCTTTAATATTTAATTTTCAAAAGTATGTCAGAGAATTAGACTTAAAAAATCTGATTAACCTAAATCTAAGGTGGGGTGCTTTGAGGGTTGCAGCCTCATAAACACAAGAGGCCTGTGCCTCTCTGCTTCTCCCTGTACCTGTGCCTTGGTTCTGCACATGTTCAAAATATTTGGAGTAACCATTGCTCCAATCCATTGTGGTTTTCACCCAGCTTCTGCTTGACAAGTCAGGAAATTCTCTATCTCTTGGTTCTGCTCATTTTGCAAAGTGCAGGTGCTCTATTTCCTTTAAACAAGAGAGGATATAATTCCTATGATGCACACTAAAAAGAGCCACAATCATGTAAAGGGAGGAAACAATCCAACAGCTACCAAGATTTGAGCTGGACCTACTAAACTTACTATTAGTGGATCAATATCTCACAATATCCCACAGTATCTCAGAGTGCCTGTAGTAGAGTGCACGGTTATGCACATTCCCTACTGTGAAGGCCTTTATAAATAGAAGAGCCTGACTAAGGGATGAGAGGGTGGAAGAAGAAATAATTAGGGTTAAACTCAGGGACCACAGTTCCAGTCAGCTGAACTGATCAAATATATTCCCCCCACTAAACAGGCAAAGCTTTTTTTCCCCTTTCAAATTCCATCTCCCTTTTTCATCTTTCTATCTCTCCTGTCCTGGCTGTCCAAGTCCTTGTTTTAGCCATGTATTTCAACATCCACTCTAGCCCTTCCAATTATCAGACAGCTCCATAGGCCAGTTTTACTCACTAACCTTGCAGAATAAATATAACACTACACCTTTCCCCTCCAAGTTTTCTGGAAGGCTAAGGAACAGGCTCATGCAGGAGTAAGAGACAGTGGAGTGAGGGAAAGGCAGGAATCCATCCCAAGTGGGCATCACACTGGAGTTAGCCACTTGTATCTTCACTCTAGCTCATCATCCTACTGGAATACCAATCTGGATAATTTTATTGTTTGCCACTTTTTTCATCACTTTTATATTGCACATTTATACTTTTAAACAAACAGACCAGTTAGAGCAAGGGGACAAGGAAGGACAGTGCTTGCTGCAAATACCAATGAAAAAGTGATGCTTAATCTGAATCCACTGCCAGTTCTGCTGCATAAAAGAAAGCAGGACTGAGACGGTGTGGAAGAAAGCTGTGCCTCAGACAGCACTGCTCTGGAGAGAAGAACCAACATCCATAGTTGCCATGTCAGCACGACACTGCAGAACTGCCAGGGAAACAGGGTGTGATGCCACGTGTTCTCATGTGGGGAGAAAAGCCTCAGCCTTACCCCTGCAAAACACCAGACTGCACTGAATAGAAGAATTATTCAGGACATTATATTTTGACTGTTGCTTTTTAAATGAATGTTTTTTTAGACATACAGCAGCCTCTTCTCAGACAATACATTTATAATCTTCACAACTGTTAAGCTTGGTGGCTGGGAAATAACAGACAGCCCCAACACTGCAAAGTCCAGAAAAGTCCCCCCACACACAACCAGAAGCAGCAAGTTCTGATTATAGCTCATAAAATAAGGGAGGTAAATTAAGGGGACCAAGGGAAAAGCCTGAAAAACTTACTTTACATGTGTCATTGCAATGCACAAGGCATTTCTGTTAAAAAAAATATTAAACAGAGACAAAATCTAATTTTTAATATGGTAAAAATTGAGTTAAATGTCTAACTGGGGCAAAAATTTCAACACCAACATGCAAAAACTCACACCTGAGAAAAAGTCATAAGCACCCATCATGAAAATATAACTAAGTGGATGCTGTTGCAAAAATAATTTGTACAGGTACTTCTTGGAGAGTAAGCCCCCTGTGCTGCAGCTACTCTAAGCTAAGAGCTGAAAAAAACCCAGAATGTGTCAAAGAGGAGGCAATTAGTAATATATTAGAGAAGACCAAATAAGGCACTGGGATGCACAGTTGTGTACTGGGCATACACACTGAAGCCTCTTGTAGCTGTATCTTTGACCTGCCACTATGGGCTTTGTCTTCATTTAATTACATAACTTTGAAAAAAACAGGTGACTTAGACTCGCAAGCAGGGCAAATTAGCTAACAGCAGCAGAAAGGTTGGCTTAATTTTCCAGGTTTCTCAGTGATGACTTGAACAGGTGTTCTAGTAGTGCCTCTCTTCAGCCTGGACCTGGCCTGTGCTGCTGCCAGCCAAGCTCTGCCAGAAGGACTTGTGCGCAAGGAGACACAAGGCCAAATGACTGTGACGGGATTTCCCTATCTCTGCTATCCACACACATTTTTATTTTCCTACCTGGAACATTTGATTTTCTTGGTGCCTGTGGTTCAGCAGAAAAGCTGAATTAGAAAAGGCAAGTTACACCTTTGCATTTCCCATTGACTTGTACGCCTGGACTGTACAGAAGGATTATGCAAGGGGACACAAGGCCAAATGACTGTGACGGGATTTCCCTATCTCTGCTATCCACACACATTTTTATTTTCCTACCTGGAACATTTGATTTTCTTGGTGCCTGTGGTTCAGCAGAAAAGCTGAATTAGAAAAGGCAAGTTACACCTTTGCATTTCCCATTGACTTGTACGCCTGGACTGTGTTGTGTCATCTCTGTAGGCTTCAGCTTCCAGAGATGCAGGGTATCTGGGAAAGTCCAGGAGAGACAACTCTGCAGAGGAGGGCTCTTCATGCCAATATTTCAAAAGGGAAAACATTTGGGCCGAAATGAATACCCAAGGTACAAAGCACAAAAAAGTTCAAAGCCCTCCCCGAGCTTTGCAGCTCAAGACCAATGTGCACTAAGCAAAACAGTCTCCAGTCTCTCCACCTCTGCTCAGAGCCATTCATGTGTCTTAGGTAAACACTGCTCCAATATCACAATGACATAATTTTACAACAATATGGAATTAAAAACTAAATTAAAGGAAGGGGAAGGGGAAGAACATGAAAAAAAAATGTGTTTTGGCACAGCACTGAAGATTGCTAAAAGTCTTCAATAATCTACAAGGCCTGGGGTCACATGAAAACCTGGAAAGGATTCCTGGCTTCAGCCTACTATTGATCCATTACATGGCTCATATAGTGACTTAACATCTTTATGTCTCTATTTACTTCCACATGTGACAGCAGCTGTAATAACCTTAATTATGATTTGGAAAGGTTAATCACCTTATCGGGAACAATACAGATGGTACACGACTGCAAGACCTAAAGTATAGTTAGCTCAATTTACTTATTTGGAGATATCTCATTTAATTCCTTACTTGCCTGTGATTTTGTCAGGGAATAAACCCCTGTGATGGGCAGGGCATATTCAGAGTCTGATTATGTGAAATGAAAAAACACAACCGCAGAACCATGACACAAGCAGTCTGGCTAGCACCTCCCAGGCAGCTTAAACGTCTGTAAATATATTTTCAGTTGCCAAAAG